TGGTCAAAAAGTCAGCGGTTAGGTAAAAAAAAAACAACAGTCAAAGGCCATCCACGAGTAGAAAAAATTGTGCTTGTTAAATAACGCAACATGGAAACTAAAAAAGAAAGTATGCAAATGAAAACTGCTTTGAATATTCATCTTTCAAATCATCAGTTCAAAAATGTTTTCTATTACAAAAGAGCATCATAATTCTTTGAACATGACTGTACTTGTGTTTCATAAAAAATTAAAAATTTAAGGCTGTTTCCTTTTCTAACTTAAATTCTAATCATGAGTCCTCCCATGTATTTAAGTAATTTCCCAAAATTCGAATGAAAAATAGCTGTTCTGCATTTGCCAATTATTTCGCGAAAAGTTTTCACAATTATTTCAATTGGATTCCTCCTTATTTTTTTTTTTTTAACCTGTGCAACGAAATGTATATTAAATTCCCCAACTCTTTTTACTTTGTCTTTTTGTATTTATTATCATTCCTTCTCATCCGAGGGCTCACCTTTTGTGCTTTTCCGCTTTTCCTCGGCATTTTCCCATCTCAGATTGCCTTTATCTTAGGGATATACTTCAAATGGCCATCCGAGATGCCTTTGCCGTCCTTTTCCCTCTTACAAGGGGGCCTTGCAAATGTCACACGCGTCGTATGCGTAATATATGTAATGTCAGCAATAAAAGCAAAGAAAAGGCTTACAAAAACAAAAAAAAATTAAAACAGATGCATACAAAAATGTGCATTATGTTGCATCGACTCTACTCATTTTTCATTTGCATTTTATTTATTTATTTGCGCTGCTTCAGTTAAACCATTCCAAATTCTGACACAGTTCGGTCATAAATTAAGGCAAACAAAATGGTTTAGGGGCGTAATTTATAGTTGATTTAATGCCTTCTAATTAGCGTTAATTTGTTTTCACGGTTGGCCCTTTTAATAAGAGACCCGTTTGTGCTCGCCCGTTTTCCGCCGCTTTTGGGTGGGCGAAAAAATGCTAGGAGATACAATTTTGTCAAAGAAAATTCCACACCACCAAGTGCTTATTAAAAAAATATTTACAAAAATTAAAAACGTAAAAACCAAATACGCTTGTAAATTTGCCCTTGAAGATTTAAAAATATTATCGTGCTATTGAATATAATTTAATTTGTTATTTCGAAGAAACCCAACCATTTATTGACAATATTTATGGCAGATAAGGTATTCACTTTCTTAATCAATATGACTAACAAAACAAAACTATTTGAGAACTAACATTTGCATTTCCACATTAAACCGCACAGTTCACTCAAATTTGTGTAGCAATTAAAAGCCTCACTGGATGAAAGTATGGATTACCCGAATCCCACAAAATTAATGAGCTGCGTACAGGCTTTCAATAAAATATCCTTACTAAAATAAGGGTCTTCTTCGGCCCGGTTTTCATCTCTTTAGCAGAGCAAATATACCTTCATTAGCGCCTGTAAGTATGCAACACTCGACTGAAAATACAGAGAGCGAGTGAGAGGGGAGGACGAAGAGTTCCCTTTCCGAATACAATATGCAAACAACGGCACGTTTTGGCATGCGAACACGGCCCATCTCTTAACCCTCTAAGTCCCTCCTAACCACTCTTTGCCCACACTTTCTCCCGCGGGAAAGCAAAGAAAAGCAAAAAGACAGCCAGCATCTTTCTCACTGTCGGAAAAAGGAAAACTTTTCAAGAGTCTCTTTTTGGGAAACGACTGTCAGATGACCAGGACAGACAGAGAAATTAATCAGGGGTGTTTTCAAATGTATTAAAATTTACAGACAATAATTAGTTGAATTTAGACAATTTAAGAGCCATCCAGTAAATTATATAGATCAATCTAATAGGAATCTATAATATTTATTATTTATTTGATAAATCACACCATTGAGCACAATTTTATGTATATACTTTATCTAATTTTGTTCTGTGTAGTTAAGAGGTTTGCCTAATGGGTTAACTGCAAGGTTAAACTGAGGGGTTGACCGACAAGAGTTTAAAGTTGAACAGTTTTATTCACAATTTCTTGCCAAGATTGATTGACAGAAATTCAAAACAATTTTGAGGCCTGCTACAAGGATACAAGACCCAAAAGTTATGGGCAAAGTGTGTAGCATATTAATAGGCGATTACACCCTACCTTTAAACTAGATATTGATTTACAACATTAAATTGCCTTGGGGCCTTTTCTTTATGTAATGAACTAAGGGTTTGCTATCTTGTTAAAAACATTTCACATGCATTTAAATCTCTCTTAAACTTTGCTTAATAATTTAAGTTTAAACTCTTAAGCATTCATCACATTTGCTATTTGTGTGCAAACTTTACCAACCACTTAAATCTTTTATTTTACATCTTTTCGCCATCTGAAAAATCTCCCAACGCCTTTTAACCCATGGCAAAGCCGACGGGCAAACCAAAATGGCATGCTTTCGTTGGGGGAATACCCCTTTAAAGTCGATAAAAAATGCGGGCTGCGTCACCGAGCCGATCCCCTGATAGCTTAAAAAATTTGAGTATAATTTATATAGGCATTAGCTCGCCGGCTTGGGGCGTTGAAATTTTCAATTCATTGCCAGGCAAACCACCGACTTTGACATGGCATATAAATGAGGAGCACCCCTCAGGACTTCTCGTCCTGCCCACCTCCCACCTCCCACCTCCAACCTCCGAAAATCCCAGAGAAATGTATACATTTTGTGCTGTGTTATTTTCTTTTCTTTTTCTTTTTTGTTGTTTAGCCTGTTTGACTGGGGCAAACAGCAACAATAATAAACATTTCTTCTCGGACCATTTGTCTGTGTGTTTTTAATAATAAATAAACTGTAAACATAAGTCACGCATACAGAGAGGCAGAGAGAGAGAGAGAGAAAGTTGAGCCTTGAGCTTCTCCCCCGGATTTATGAGTGGGGTCAGGGGTCACGAGGCGGCTGTAGTCGTACTGCCAGGCTTGTGGCCAAAGCTATGCAAATGTTGCGGCCTGCCTGCGAATCTGTCTGGATTTTTAAAGCCCCCCCCTCACTGTAAGGCGTCCCTTTTTAGTTAATTCCTAAGGGAATTTTTGATTTGGGAATTAATGTTATGACTAAAGTGGGCGATCGACTTGTTGGCCAACTGATAAGAAGCCACTGCAAAATGGCAGGCTCATCCCTGTGCTCCAAACGATTTATTAGAGTTTATACACTGGCTTTAGAAGGTAGCATAAATTACTGGTTTCAGCTGGGTTTCCTAATATTAAATGAAAACACATACATGAAATTTATGCAAATATGGAATTTTTCATTCCGAAATTCTATAACAAAAATGTTGTTTAATTGATATAAACAAATGTTAGCCTATATCATTAATATAACAAATTTTGTTACTGTTAAAGAATTGCAAATTCTCTTCTTTATAAATTTAAATTTGTAGTCATTTAAAATCACCTTACAATCCATTGTAAAATGTGAGCTGAACTAAACATTTTATTTATATGTGGAACTTTTATTATTTTTATATGAATTGAATTGTAGTTGTAACTTTAATTGTAATTGTAAACACTTTAACTTTAATATTGCAAATGTAAACGTTACCGAAACGTTTTTAATTAAACAATATTTGTTTTCATAGCTCTCTTTAATAACATATTCAATTGATAAATGACACGTCTCAACACCCTGACAATTTCGCTTAAAATTTGTTTGCATTTCAAATATAAACATGCAAATATTGGGCAACAACTGTCAACTGGTTAATCTCCACAGCTCTTGCCATGATTTTCCTTACGCTTCAGTTATTTTGTGTTTAACCATTAGTGCGTATAACATTTCATAGCTTTCATAGATTTATTTTCAGAATACACATATTTTTCCTGGCCTGGCCCTATTTGCATTTCGTTTTTTTCGCCTGCAATTAATTTTAAATACATCTAATGGACGTAATTCCAATAATTGTTTAACTTTCCCTTTCCCAATTTCCTTTTGCGCTTTAAAATTTCATGGCCTGGCAGTTTCAATTACCCCGCCACATCCTTCGTTCCTTTTTCGGGGTTCATTAAAATGATTCTCTTTATTTTCTTATGATTTCTTTTTTTGTTGTGTGCCTGCTGTTATTAATATATATATAGCACACACACATATATATATATATATATATATATATATGTATGCTGTCGCTGCCAGAAGGAGACCGTGGCAAATGGAGAGAAAGAGAGGGGGCGACAGTTCAGGGTACGAAAAAATTAAAAACATTTAAATTTAATTATACGACTATGACAAACCATTTTGGCATTTTGACAACGTTTTTACGGGGGATGAAGGCTTTTCTTGTGACATTCTCTGACTGATGGCCACGCCTCCCCCCAGTGCCTCGTCCCGAGACAATTTGCAACAACAAGTCAACAATTAGCAGCGAGTTCAATGTGCCATCAGAGTCCAGGACATGGACGAGGATATAAACAAGTTCATTAGCAAAATGAGGGCTTTTGGGCGGAAAATTGAGGGTTTTAGGGCAAGGGTTATGGGTCAGGGGGCGACAAGCCCTTTGGCGCAGACACAACGGACATATTTTGGAATTTAGAGCACAAGTTGGCGGAATCTCATAGAAACTGAATTTATTATACACCATTTTGAAAATAATTGTAGTGGACCCTTGGTTAGATGACCGATTTCTAGATGTCATGTTAAAGTTCTAGTTTGTAATCTTCTTGAGCAACATAATTGCAATTTAACTTCATGTTAATCATTATTACATTGAGAAATTGGCGTTCAGTGTTCACTTTTTAGTGAAATACTTTTTGACACCTACTATACATTATTATTTTAAAATAATAACAAATAAGCCCGAAAATGAACTGTAATGTACAAAAAATTAAATATTTTCATATTTAAAATAAGTAAATAGCGAAATGGATGAAAGTCAAAGCGAAGATGTATAAATTGAGTTCACAGTATTGGGATTTACCACGTCCTTTTTTTTTAGCAGTGCAGGAGTGTTTGGCATAGAATCAAGGAGGGGACTCACCCGAAGAGGTCCGAATCGCTGCCGGGGAAGCTGATCCTGGGCGAGAGTGGTGACCGCCCCTGGGCCCGTTTCAGCATGTCGTGCAGGCCCGGCGGCGCGTGGATGGGGCTCAGGATGGTGATTTTGCGGTTGCCCGGCGGGGCGAGGAAGCCACCGCTGAGGGTCAACTGGGTGCGCATGCCGGCCGACGAGGAGCTGCTCTTCATCTCGATGGTCTCCGCCGACTTGGAGATGAGTATCGAGGAGGATTGCTGCAGGCCCAGCTTGCTCATCGACAGCTGCATGGAGCCGCCGCTGGCCGAGCTGTCCACCAGACTGTCCACCCCACCCACACTGCCGCCGCTGCTTGGATCGTCGATCTGCGTGGAGGCACTCCGGATGCACTTTTCCGGCCGGCCCGAACCGGTGCCGCCCACTCCGGCCGCCGCCTCCGAATGCGCCGATGTGGAGCGCACGAACTGACGCACATGCTTCTGGTGGGCGGTCAAAAAGCCATGATGTGCCCCCTCCGGTTGCTGGAGGAAACTCTGGAAGCGGGTCTTGCCGCCGCTCGAATTGCTGCCCGAATTGGAGTTGCCAATGCCACCGCCAACGCCAACGCCAACGCCAACGCCACTGCCACCGCCAACGCCACCGCTGGCTATGAATCGAGTACTGCTGCTGCTACTGGTGCTCGTGCTGGTTCGCTGCTCACTACTCGTTATGATCGAGGTGGAACTCTGGGCCTTCAGCTGCTGGGCCAAGGATGCCGCTGCCGCCGAGGTCAGCATTTGGGTGGCTCCCGTGGAAATGGTAGTGGCCTCACCCACAATTGTGCTGGACTGCAGACTCTGACTGCGCGTCGAACTGGATATGATCTTCTGCTGCGTTTGCTGCGTTTGCTGCATCTGCTGCTGCTGCATCTGCTGTTGCTGAATCTGCTGTTGCTGAATCTGCTGCAACTGACTTAGGGTCTCCTGCTTTTGCTGCAGAGCACTGGTGCTGCTGCTGCTCATCGAATAGGAACGAGTGGCCACTTTGGTCGAGCTGCTTGTGCTGGAGAATTGCTGACTCTGCAGCACGTGCTTTTCGGGGGATCCCAGCTCCTCGTCGGGATCCACTTCGCTGGGTGTGGTTATTATGTACTGCGGTGGTGGCGCCGCTGCACCACCAGCTCCACCATTACTGCTCTCCTGCGACATTTTGCTATTTTGTACTTTATATTTGATGTATTATTTCCTTTTCTGCGTGTGCAGTATATAGTAGTTTCTGGGGAACAGAATTTATGCATTTAATTTTCCTGCTTGGGAGTGACAAAATAGCCTCAATACATTGCACACATACTTTTTGTCTTTTCTGGTTATTGGGGGCAAGGGGGGCGCTTAAAACTGGGTTAATTAAATGACGACACAAGTGGGTTTTTTTTTTCGGGGGAGCATGAGCATAGCGCCAAAGTCCCTGAACAAAAGATACGAATTTTAATTAGGGACCTGACATTCATTCCAAAATGTAGTTTGAAATTCATTAAAGAATTTCCCAGCAAACGCTCAATTCTTGTGAGAAGAGGTCCTCCCAACCAGATTGAAAATAAATCACAAGCCCTAAGCCACAGAGCAAGGCGAAGTGGAATTCTTGAATACGGAATGAGAATTCGCACTAGTTTATTTATGCTTAATTCTGGCAGATATTTCTTGTGAACTTTTTTCAACTTTTAAGCACAAAGCCAAAACCAACAGAAGACAAATTTGAATTGGAAACCCAGAAACTTTTTTTAAATCAACAATTTACTAAAATTATGAAAAATAATACAAAAACTTCTACTAATTAGTATGAATTTTTTATAGAGCATATTATTGTAAAACGATTTTCACACATCGCTATATGAAATCATTTCGGTAAACCTCATTAACAAAGTTCGTGGAACATTTCCCCAATGGCAAAAGTTAGCTTCGAACTCGAACGCAACATGAGGCGACCCCGTTTTTTCGCCACCCCCACAATTTTCCACTTTCCCATTTTGCCTTTGGCGAAATTTTCTTGTTTTCATCTTCTTTTTTTGCGTGAAAATTTTGGTTTTCCCTTCCTTTTTTTTCGTTTTGTTTCATGCGTTGTTTTTGTATTCTTTTCGGAGCGAGGCTTTTTTCGCTGGTGTGGCTTAACAAGCTGCATAATTAACCTGTGAACCGTGACCGTGACTCTGGGCCGACCCGCCCCCCTTGCCAATTTTCCCGCCCCTGGACTTTCAGTCATCCCCCGTTAAGTTTCACGTTGCCATTACCATTGCCATTGCACATTGCAGAAAAATTAGGACAAAATATTTTAAGCTTCCATTGTAAGTAGGTATATAAACAAGTATCTTTAAAATTAGCTGGTTAACGAGGCCCAGACTTTTTTGTTTATATTCTTGATGCTGTTATTGAAATTAACTAGCATATACAAAAAGTATATTCAAAAACGTTTAAACATTTTTGTTAAGTCGACGGAAACAATTTTCTCTATTTAGTTTTGTTTCTGTTGTCTATACACCATATATTTTTAGTCCCAAAGTAGGTACGATATATTTATAACAAAAAACAAGATTGAAAAAAAAACTCAAATTAATGTTAATTAAATTTAACTTAACCCTCCCAGCAGTAACATTCTTTTTTACAGTATATATTCAACGTGATTTCGTTTTCCTTTTCTATTCCGGCTTTGTACATTTCCCCTTTCACTTTACATTCGATTGGAATTGAAAACATGGAGAAAGCTGGAATTAAAATCTATTTTCAGATGATTCTCCCTTTAAGCTTTTTCATATTCCGGTAAACTCAATCACTTTCCATTTGATTTTGTTAGCAGAAATGCATTTATTTTGAAAAGGAAATTAAGGGTCGAAGAAAAGTCCATTGCATTGATTAAATCTTTTCATTGAAGAACACAGATATTATAGTTATAATAAAGCTAATTAAGTTTTATATTGATTTGTTATTAAGGTTTTTTTTATTTTTATTTTTTTGTAGTAAGAATTTAATGTTTTACTTTAGCAAATAGAAATTAAATTTTTTAAGTTTTATATCAAAACAAAGAATAAGAAAAGACAGCTTGCAATAAATGTCTTCAGAATGTTAGGCTTTCTTCTTCAAAATGCTTTCTTTAACCCCATTAAGTCACCGATTTGCGTAACTGTTTTCACTTTTTCGGCAAGTCACCCGAATTCCCAAATTGTCGGCCAATTGAAGGTCAGCACTCGCTTAGTTGCAATGACTGTCACATAACAACAAAAAGGACAAACCCAACATCTTGTGCAACAGTCACGCACACACTGACAAATCGCATGCAAAACACACACTCTTACAGAGGAAAGAATGTTACAGCAATTTTATGCAAATGGATACCTTTAGCCCGCCTAGTTGCCTGAGAAATGGAATGACAATGACGACAATTCACACTGCGAGAAACGCAATAAAAAAGAAAAAAACATATTCATACAAATTTAAAAGAAAATCCTTTAAAATACCGGTATTTTAAGAGAGATGGTATCAAAACTGCAAATTAAAATTGGGATTATAAAGAAGAAAATGACTAATCTTCTTCTTCACAAAATTTTATTTTTCAGATTTGAATTGAATTTTAAACTTCATAAGTAAACTTGTAAACCGAGTAATTTTTGAGCAGTTTTTTCGCTTAGTGGAAAAACAGAAAAGGAGTAGGGTTTGGCCATAGGCAGAATGCTCGTCTCCCAGGATTCTTTACCCTCCTTTTCGTTGACACTTTACCATTTTTGTTTTTTTTTTTTTCGGAGGCGTGGCACTCAAAGTAATTGCAATTCGAGCGGAAAAATGAGGGACATTGCAGGATAAGACAGGACAGGACAACCAGGCCAGTTAGTAAGTCTTCTGTGATTCGATCAACTCAATTGCCCGCATTCGCCGCAGTTGCACCAGTTAGTTATATTTCCCCCCACATAATAACGCTCCTGCAATCGATGCGATTGCATATTATAGCACCTAGTTGTTGTTCATTCGCAGCGTTATTTATTACACCTTATGGAGTGCATATTTGATTTGATTTGCCCGCTTCACTCGTTACCTTTTCCGCCGCCAAACAATTGAGACGGCTTTGAGTACGAAACAAAGCAACAACGGCAACAAAACCAATTTGCATTTACAGCAAACAACAAGGCGAAAGCAATAAGCTGCATGTGTTGATTGCCACGCCCCCACCGCCTCCCATTCGTGGGTGTATTCGCGAGAGTGTGTGGCATAGTTAACAAAGGCTTTCCTCCGCTTTCCCATACACCCATACACCCATACACCCATACACCCATACACCCATTCCCATACACACATGTCAACATCATTAGCCATATATCAACTTCACTTTCAATGCTTGCCCAATGAATTTTCTCAACTGGGGCTAAAAAAAGGAGGCCAAGCACAATGGCTTTTAAATTTCTAGAAGTTACAACACCGTGAATTTGGATCACAGGTCTTTAAATGGCTTTAAATTAATAAATATTATTAAATACTCCTAAGTCTCTATATGATGTACATATTTTAACATATTTAAATAATACATGTTTTGTAATGTATATATATATTATATAGTTGAAATACCACCAAACAGAACAGTTTTACTGCATTTCCTAGGACTGAAATATTTAATTTACTGCCCCATCTTTTTTCGCCGACGGATTATGAAAGAGCTGCTGTATGGAAAGGAAATAATTTAACCTTCAACCCAAAGGCTTTTCCTTTACATTTCACGGGGTGGTGGTTTAGTGGTGTTTTAGAGGCTGCACCGCTGATATTTACGAAATTAATTTCTCCACACACACCTGGCCAAAAGCAATTCGCGGCCAAGGTCAGCGGTTCTGCTGACATGCATTAAAAATAAATCCACTTTAAATTGACTTTGATAGCGGCGGTGTCAACCGAGAAAAGTGCATTATAGTGTACTATAGTAAAAACTGTGGAAAGGCACCGAAACCACCACCATTGACCTTTCCAGAAATTCATTGCCTACTTATGGGGAAATGGAAAATGGAAAATCCTTCTCTTCACCCATCCAACCAACCAACCAACCAACCAACTCAATTAACGTCGTCAATAATGCACTCTAATTGGAACAATTTTCCACTGGCGTAATTGATACGGAACGGTTATTATGATCGAATTGGATCGAATCAAATCAAATCGAATTAATGTAATGGTCCAAACGTTATAATGGCTGGAAAATTTTAAATTGCGTATAGCCCAATTAAATAGCAGAATCACATTTTAACTCAATTTCTAGTGGGTTAGAAAATTGAAGCGTTGCTAAAGTTCATGGATAACATTCTGTACTATAGCAGAAGAATTTATACAATTTATCGATTTCGAAGTATTATAAAATGTAACTACTAGACATTTCAGTTTATTCCTGTTAGATATAATTATAAAAACTCAATAGAAACTAATTATTTTGAAATTAGTCAGCTAATAATTTAAGCAATTTGCAATTTGTTTTTGTTTTTATCCTTTGCTCATTGAGTCGGGAGCGTCTGGTTGAGATCACAAATCGTATTCCGCTTTTTCCACCTACTTTTCCGGGTTTTCCGACCCCACCTCCCGCGGGTTTATTGCATCATTGTGTGCTCATCATGCCGGACTAAGTGAATTTGGCTGGTGTAAGAGAATTTTAATGCATTTTCCACATAGCGATGGCATGCGGCCTTCCACCTCTAGCCTAGCGGAAAAACGAATTTTCCGATGGAGGCGGCAGGTGGAAAATATGGATGCCGAAACGGATGCACCACTTACAACGGCTAATTTGTTTGTGTGAATTTGTCAGCGTGCAATTTTTTTGCTTTATTGGAGGGAAAGCGTAAAAAAGGTGTACGGAAAATTCGAGCAAAAGCGGGGGGGGAGGCAAAGTGGCAGTAGAAAAGGTCAGACGGGCTACTTTGTGCCGGCAATTCAATCAAACTTCCATTAATAATGGAATGCGGGAAAGAGCACTGAAAATGTTAGAAGCTTGAAGCATTTTCCCTCCCAAAAACTCCACCACATTACCCATTTCCGACTACGTTACTTAAGCCTATTTAACCTGGCAAAGAGGCGGGGGCGTGGCCTGGGGTAACACGACAATCAAAGACACAAGCTGAAGACCAAATTCAAAGCCAGGAATAGAATTAAAAGCCGAACGGAAAAACAAGTTGCGAGGCGAGAAAGCCGTTTTCCCTTAAGAACTTAGTCTAACGGCTAAGCCGAAAAGAAACTCAACACGCAGTCACATACAACTTTTAC